TATTCATTTTTGGCCTAAGGCTTAGTAATTGATAACCTGTCTGGAGAAGAGGGTGGAGAAGGAGGAAAAGCAACCATTGAAAAATCAAATTTGGTGTGTAAACCCATGTGAGAAACCCATTCTACCGTCCTGGCATTTACAATTGTGCCATTGTATTGAGTTAATATGGTAGAGTTGCCCTCTCGGAGAGAAAGGGTATGATCTAGTTAGAGAGGTAGGTGGGCACATGGAAAGCAGCAGGGAATCCTCTGGCTTTAAGTACATGGGAATATATGATGTGTTGTTTATCCAAATATATGACCATTTACTGTCTCTGGGACTCTAGATCCCTCTTCCCCACCAAATACACCATTGTTGCTGTTGGCTGTCATCACCTTATTACATGCAATAGAGTTGCAACTTCTCATGTAGACGTATTGCTGGGTCCTTTAATGACCAGCTGAAAGCAAATATTCCCTGGGTAATTCACATGTGTGAGAACATCCCGTGTCTACATGCTGCTCTTTCCATTCCTCAGCCACCCTGAATGTATCTTGCAGAAGGACTTGTACATCGCAGAAAGGTGGGAAGAGCAGTACTAACTGCTCCCAGTAAAGCTGGTGTCCACGCTGCCTTATTTCACCTGGGGAAAGGAGGGGACACGCACAGCCTATGAGAAACTGTCTCAGCAGAAGCTGGGGTGAATTGATTATTTAATAACAAACAAGCACAGGGCCTGCTTTTTTAATTATTTTTATGCCTATGGTGCTCACGCACATTTGGTGTGGTGAGATTACTGCCTAAGGCTACCCCCAAAGAGCTGCAAGAACAGGAGCCCATTGAACTCATGCTGGTTCTGTTGCATGTCTTAATGAAGCTTTAAAATGCTTGAAATTGTCTTTGAAATGAAATATTCCATAGCTGCAAGCTAACTGCATACTTTGTAATAATTGCTTAGCCAAATAAAGGAAAATTTTAAGGAACAAAGAAAAATTAGATTGATGGCTAGAAGAAAATGATTAAATAAAAAATTCATGAAGAAGAGAAATTTAAAAAAATAGCACAGCATCACAGGCTTTTGCACAAAGACTTCCCTTCCAATGAGAGCTTTTCTTTTCCAACTATTACTGTGCATTTTATTCTCGTTTGCTCCAAATACTAGAAAAACTTTTTCTGTGGGAATAATGGAGAAGATGGTCACAAATTTATGCAGAAACTGGGACACAGAGTAAAATTTAAAAGCAGAGGTATGCATTTCACTGCCATTCTGAGTGGGGGTATGGTGCACTGTAAATAATTAATGATGTGACTGGAATTGCCTTTTTTTTTTAACTCTTAAATCAACTGTGACTCAACAGAAAAAAACCAGAAAGACTTCTGTTCATAATTATCAGCCCAACTTGTACACTCAGAGCCCTTCCTCATGCAAATTTACTGCTCTTAGCGGCCATTAGTAACAGAATGAATAATTTGCTGTGAATAAATTCTCTCATGGTTAGCCTTTTTTTCTGCTTGCAGGCTAAGACCAGCAAATCATTACTTGTGGACATGTATTAATGTCCAAAAGTATCTGAGAAATGTGCAATTGTTTGTTTTGAACAAATTCTTTTTGAAGAATCAGTATACCCTCAGGTTTTGTGTCCTTGCTATGGCATGAAAAACCATTGTGGAATGATTTTAAATTAGAGTGCATTTAGGAAGAAAATACAGAAGATAGTTACAGTGAACAGTAGGACTTCAGGGAAATACCTACAAGCTAGTGCAGGCATTTTAAAATATGAATATTATTGTGAAGTCTTTAGGTGACGTCTGGTAATAGATATTTAATCTAGCAAAAGCACTTTCATTGCTTACTTGTTAAAGTAATTTAATGGATGAGTGATGCTATTAATGGACCACATGTAGAATCCAGACTTTTTTTTGTTCAAAACATTCCTTTAGGGTTTAAATTTCTAAACAAGCTCAGAGGCCGTTTGAAGAGATCTAGCTTATATACAAGCTATGGGAATCATAATTTATGAACTTTTCTTCTTCTTAGCATTTCCTCTGCTTTTAGAAGGAAAAGAAATGACTTTGTATACATATGTGCTACTTTAAGTTGGCCGAGTGATATACCTTGTTTTGATAAGGTGGTTAGAAGCAAGAGACTGTGAATAGATGGATGTATGGTTGAACATGCAGAGGGAGATGAACAGAGGGCTTAAAAAAGTTGTAAGCTATCTGAACAAACATACAATTTTAATCTTCCCTTCCCTAATTTTTTTTTTAAAGAGAATTGTATTGCTAATACCTGTAGCATAGCTCTTGCAAAAAAATTAAGCAAAAAAGCAAAACCCCTCAAATTTTAGCAAAACCAGCCTTTCTTCCCACCCCAACACTTTGGGATGCTGAAATAATTGAAGATAGACATCTGGAAAACAGATGATCAGGTAATAAAAATAAACTTTTAAGTTGGTATTTTAACACCAGTTAGTGTGATGAAGTCATGCTATTTTGAACCATTGCAGAAGTTCATTGATAAGCACTGCAGTTTTGCTTCAGTTAGTACTTTATTTCTCTTCTGAACACATGGCTATGTATTGTTGAAACTCAGATATCACCTGTACAGAGTAGAAAGGTGGGGAAATAATCTGTTGTAAATGTCTCTGACTTCTTGAGGATCACTGCACAGTCACATAGTTTAGTGAAGAACTAAAATGTGGTGGTTGACTCCAAGATCAGCTGTTTCCAGCTAAATGTTTGTGAAACCTCCAACTTTAATAGCTGCATTGTATCATCCAAAAGATGTGCAACAGAATGAGTAGATGACCTTTCAGATAGAGAACAAGCTGTTCACAATGTCTTTTCATTTACTGAGACAAAATATTCTTCTTATGCAAAGATAATACTTTCCACCATTTTTAACAATGTTGGTGAAATATAAAGAATTTAATTGTTTTGTTTCTGAATACAAGGGGTTTTAGCTATGCGTCTTTAGATCAGGACTATTTCTAGACCAGCTGTGTTAAATGCATTGATCTAGCTAGATTTTTTTTTTTTTTTTTTTTTTTTAAAGACAATGGAGGTATTTTGAATCCCATGCTCACAGGGTGGGATGTCATTAGCTATCCATCAATGTGATATCCACATGATATTGGGCTTTGAATGATATATGGATGAATTCTTATTGCCATCCTGCACTGCAGCTATGGGATCAATAACTTACTGACAAGGTGGTCCAAGGCAGCTGTAACAGAAATTGGTCCAAATTGTTGTGAAATTGCAGCCTTGGCATGAAAAGCTGCTGGGATGCTCTCAGTTTGCACACTTGTACACAAGCACTAGCTTGGATTGGAACAGGTCGCAAACAAATAGTGAGAAAACCAGGATATGGAAATCGGGGCTCAGCCTTATCTTTCTCACGTGGGGTTTGGTTTGGCCCTTAGTCTTTGCAGTTGTAAATCCACCACTTAAATCACAACTGAATAATTGGTACTAACTAATAACAACTAGTTATACTGGTAAAGCGTTTTTTGCTCTGCAATATAACCAGAATTGCTTCTGTTATTGTTCAGCCTCTGTCCATTCCTGTTCTTATCTGATAAATCAAGTGGTGCAAACCTGTTTTCTTGTTAAAGGGAACATAGTATATCTGCTGGAATTCAAAGAAATACGGTGAGCAGGAACTCCTCAAAACTTGAGGAAAATCTTTCCATTTGGGGAAGAAAAAACAAAACAAAAAAACCACAAATGTTTGTCTTTGGGAGTTAAAAAGACCAATATAGTTCTCTTGTCTGTTTGCAGAAAACTAAAGATTTTGTTGTTTGTGAACCAAATACAAATTCATTCCTAGATCACACATCATATATGAGTAGTTTACTAAAGTTGGAAGCAAATATGTTTAAGAATTGTAGAATAATTTCAGTTGGAAGGGATCTGTGAAGGCATCTGGTCGAACCCCTGCTCGAAGCAGGTCCAGTAAGACAAGGATGCTCAGAGCTTTGCCTAGGCAAGCCCTGAATATACCTGATGTTGGAGATTCTGCAGTCTGTCTAGGCAACCTGTCCCAGTGGTTAACCATCCTCACAAGAGGAAAAAAAAAAAAATCACTTGTACCTCGACAGATTTTCCTTTGTTGCAATCTCTGGTGGTTGCCCCATATAATTTTGCTGCACACCTCCAGGAAAAGTCTGTGTCAGTCTTATCTCTGCTCTGCCATTGGGTTATTGAAGACCACCATAAGATTACACCTGAGCCCTTTCATCCTAGAGCAGTCCTTCCAGCACACTGCTGTGTGCGGTAAAGGTTTGGAAAAATCCTAAAACTAGTGTGGCCTGGGAATGAGGAATGAGAAAGTTACACTAAGATCCAAACTAGCCATTCATCCTGACAACCTGAGGTGCTACAACTGCAGTGGGTAGAAACGGTCTGTTAGCAAGTACCTGCAGCCCATTTTTGTAACACTGATAGAAACCAGGTGGGGTGGAGAAAAAAGCCTTCCATAATGTAATTAAGTAAACCTTAGAGAAAACTTCTCAGCACTTACAGTGATGCCGACAAGACTAACCAGCTAAAGATTTTAATATATTTATTTAATCGTTCTCAACTAGTGTGCATAGATATTAATCACAGTACACGCCAATGGCAGTTTTCTCTCTCCTATTACTAAAAGATTTTCTTCTGAATTTTCAGAACAACTTAGCTGGTGGAAAGGTTGCTTTGCATGCAGCGGAGCCAACCAGGAGGTGGTGTTTGTGATAAGGTCTCTTTCTTACTCATCCCCAAACTGTGGCTTATTTTGTGCATATTTGTGCTTGTTGGTTGAGAGCTGAGGATGTGCTTGTTAAATAACGGGTCAGATGTCTGCAGTGGCAACATATTATTAACTGTTTGAAACTTAAAGTTAGATGTATTCTGTATTCTTTGGAATTTTTTGGGGGGAGGGGGTCCTATTCCTGCCATGCACACTAACAGGAGTAGTTACTCTCTTCCTCCTCTCACTAATGTATTGTACCTTGGGCTTTTTTTGTCTTCCTCTGCAGAAACTCTCCTGGATGACTTCCTTCTCACGTACACAGTCTTCATGACGACTGATGACTTGTGCCAGGCACTTCTGAGGCAATATCCTTTTATTAAGTGTTGTATTAACAGGGGTCACACACTTACACCTAGGTTTTTCTATTGTCAAGCCTTATATCAAATGTAGCAAGTTGCACTCCTGGGATAATTAGTTTTGCTCTTTGCATAATGATATTATTGAAATGCAACCCCGGGTGATTATTTTGATGTTGCTTGTAAAAATGGTGAGAAAAGAGAACAATTGTCTAATATTTACTATGGCATGCTTAGAAGGTGGACTGCACCTGAGATTTTGGCATCACATCCCAAGAAATGCATGGACAAATAGGAGAAACTTCAGAAGAGAGCAGTGGGAATTACCAGTATTCTAGAAAAAAAGGCCTACAAAAAAGGATTGAAAGAATTGGGCTTGTTTTACTGAAAAAAAAAAAAAAGGAAACTATGAATGAGACAATCTTTCAGGTACCTAAAGAGGAAGGGAAGAATCTTTTCCCATATCGATGCCAGATGGGACAAAAGGCAGTGAGATTAAGTTGCTGTAAGACAGCTTCATGTTAGATACTAGGAATTTTTTTTTTTTTTTTTACATTAAGAAAAGAAACACTGGAGTGGAAAATGTGTGAGACAGTAAAATCTTTCATATTGGAGAATATTAAGAAGAAGAAACTAGAAAATACATTCCAAGGGTAACATAGGGTATACTTGAGCCTGTCTTAGGGTGGACTAGTTAGGGTGGATTTAGATGGACTAGCTTAGCTGATCTTTCAGGGTCTCTTCTTCTTCAGTCCAATTTTCATAAGGTTTTATGATACTTGGAATTCGATTCAAATCTGTAGCTTCCCAAAGTTCAGGTTATATTGTTTTCTTAACTCAAATGGGTTGTTGAGGAAAAGATTCAAACTGGAAACATTAAATCCAAATTTGGATATGAGTGCCCCTAATTGGCACATGCCTGTAAATAGAGATAGAGAAATATATATACACATTCACCTATTAAAACGTTTAGAATTTGCATAGCCGAGGAACCAATAAACAGAAAATTCCTGCTCTGAAGTTCAATGTACAAAGCTAAAGCTGCCTCTGAATAAACTTGTATCTAAAACATACGTATTTGTGTATGTGCATGCTTACTTTACAAGAATGCTTGAAAGATGTATTGAAACAGATGCCTAACTCATAACAACAATACAAACTTATGGCTGCTGGTTTTGTTTAAAGACAAATAAACCTTTATAACTGTTACAAAATAACATTTAAAGTGGGGTTCAAACCAATCCAGACCTGTATGTTAATTCTTAGAATACCTATATCTGTGTAATACATTTCAGAATGCGTGAAGAGAAAAAATGAAGAATAAGTATTATAAAAGAAATTTTTCCTTTTACTTCCAATTACTTCCATAAGCTAAGGAGCATTGTTTGAATAAACTTGTAGCTGTAAAATGAACTTGCTTTTCTTTTTTTTTTTCTTTTCTTTTTTCCCTCTACCTTTTGTGGTGAAAACATCATCTTTTTACCTAATAAAAGAAAGAATAGTGAAGGAACAATGTACAAAGCGGGTATCTTCTGTCATTTGGTGTTTCTGCTTTGTGAAAAGAGAACAATGGTGGGAATAGATTCTTTCACCATTTTTTATTTTAATAGTGTTATTTCTGCAGATAGTGTAATTTGTGCAGGGACAAAGAAACTGACTTCCTCTGCCTCGTTTTTTTGTTGTTGTTAATGATGCATTGTCCTCCTTCCTACAGACATTCACATTGACATCAGTGTGCAGGACAAAGGTTCATTCCCAGTTCTGAAGAAAAGATATGACTCAACATTGTATAATTCCTTTTGAATTGATTTTACTTTTATAGACTCGCCTCTCTAATCTATAAAGGAAAAAAATCCTGTTGGCACAGAGGATGAACTGACATTTCTATTACTGAGAATTTCATTCCAAAAAGTTGATGAAACTCGTAAAGCTCCAGATGGGATAAAACATTTAAAACTGAGCAATGTAGTGAAAAAATCTTTTATTAGCAGATAAGATGATTGCAAAGTCTTTTCCATCACTTAATTTTTAAGCTTCAGTGAGACCTTATTGTTTGTTCCTTAATCTACTGTACCTATTGTGCTAAGAACCACCAAGGGAAAGAAGATGACTCTGATGTGTCCTGTAGGAAACGAAAAGTCTTGCATTTGGTGTCTCAGTGGACTTCTCTCTACAAAGACTGGTTACATGAAGATGAGCATTTAAAACAATTTTTAAAGGTATTGAAACACTTTCTGATTCATTTCAGCATTGTTTAATTAACATACTGTGTCTAAAAAGCCCTAACAGCAAAATATATAAAGCATAATTTTTCATACTTAAATTTTCTCTATGAAATCTATAATATAACATGATTTACATGTGTCTTCCCTGAATGCCTTAGAGATAGTCAGTTTGAACAGAAAACCTGTAATGTCAGTACATTCAATATCAAAAACATTACTTTAAGATATGAAACTCCCAGGACTCCTTGCTCTCTAGAAAATGGGAAAAGTTAGGAAGGTAAAAAATAAAAGTACAAAGATATGGAGGTTTTGGACACACTGGTCGTTTCTGCCAGAACAGGGTCTATGGTTGGTATCCAGAGGATCACGGACAAAGAGAGAGGTTTGAGGTCCTTGTAAGAGAAGCTACTTTGAGGAGTGAAATGCTATTCCACAGTGTTTGTCAGGTGCACATGGAGAGTAGCACAGCTTTATGTATTTTTAATAAATAAAATGATGTCCTCACTTATTAGCAAGGATCTTATGATCTTTCTGAATGAGTTCCAAAAGCTTTTGTAATTCCCTTGTAAATTTGCAAATAGCCACGTTGTCACTGACCCAAGATCCATGTGGTTGTTGATTCCCCCCCC